GTAGGAAACCTAGGAAAGTTTCCAAAAAGTTAATATTTGGGGAATTAAGAGATGGTAATGGAGATATTACTCAACTTCTTGCCTCAGAAGATTCTTCTAAAAAATGTTTGGAATTTTTGAAAACTGCTTTTTTAGAAGATGCTATAAGTGTTACAGGAACTATTGCTATAAGAAGGGAAGCTAAAAATCAAGTTAAACAGCAAGATACAGATTGTAAATGGGATTTAATCTTAAAAGAGTATAACATATTGAATAAGTCTAATGATTTACCTTCAAAATTATTGGAAACTATTAAAAAAAATTCAGATTTCCCAGCTAATTTACGCTATTTACAATTACGTTCAAAATATTATCAAGATGCATTGAAATTAAGATCTAAAACTGCTAGTATAGTTAGAAAAACGTTAAATCTTTTAAATTTCATTGAAATTGAAACTCCATTATTATTTAAATCAACTCCTGAAGGTGCTAGAGAGTTTTTAGTTCCTACAAGGAAACCAAGACAATTTTATGCTTTACCCCAATCACCACAACAGTATAAACAACTATTAATGGCAAGTGGTGTGAATAAATATTATCAGATTGCAAAATGTTTTAGAGATGAAGATTTAAGGAAAGATAGACAACCAGAATTTACTCAGGTAGATATGGAATTGGCCTTTAGTAATGCAGAAGATGTGATGTTAAATGTTGAACAAGTTGTTAAAAATGTTTGGCAAGATGTTCGAAATTTAAATTTTTTCAAATTAAATAAAGATGGTGATTTAATAAAAGTAAATCACTTGGATCTGAATGATAATTTCACAAAAATACCTTATTTGAAAGCATTGGAAAATTTTGGTATTGATAAACCCGATTTAAGAAGTGGTTTAACTTTTAAACCTTTAACTTTTGAAGAGTATGGTGTTAAAGTCATAGGAGAAAAACTGGAAGAATTCCCAATTTTCGAAATTTGTATCTTAAGAAATGCATTCAATAATACAAAAGAAACACAAACATCATTATTTGATGCTCAAAATTATAAATCAAGAATTCCTATTTCAGTATCTATTGAATCAGATCAAGATTGTTTAAATTGGTACAAGAATTTTGAAAAAATTGTTAAATTTGAATCAAATACTAAATTGCAAAAATTAATTTTAGAATTGAATTTACAAAAAGGAGATATAATTGCAGGTTCAACGAGATCAAAACTCCCTTATGAAAACCCTACTCCTTTAGGTAGATTCAGACAATTATCAATTGAAGCTTATCCAACTAAATGGAGAAGAAAACTTTTAAACTTTGAAAACAAAGATATAACTGAATCAGTGAAACCTAAAGATGTCTTTGTAGCATCATGGATTGTTGATTTCCCATTATTTTCACCTTTAGAAATATCAGAAACCGATAGTAATGGGTATCCCGTTTATAACTACTATAATTTAACTTCCACACATCATCCATTTACGATGTGTAATCCAAAGGACTATGATTTATTATCTACTAATCCATTAAAAGTCCATGGTGAACATTACGATTTAGTTATTAATGGGGTTGAATTAGGAGGAGGTTCAAGAAGAATTCACGATACAAGTTTACAGAAATATATCTTTAATAACATTTTAAAAATTGGTAATTACCAACAATTATTTGGTCATTTATTAAATGCTTTTGATATTGGATGTCCACCACATGCTGGATTAGCTATAGGTTTTGATAGAATGTGTGCAATGCTATTAAACTCGGAAAGTATAAGGGACGTTGTTGCCTTTCCCAAGACAAAAACAGGTGCTGATGCCGTTGTCAATAGTCCTAGCGATGTTAGTGATATCACCCTACAAGAATATCACATCAAAAAATTAGAATAATGATATAATGATAAATAATTTATAGGTTTCATGTATATAGATAAGACAATAGAAATTGAATAAAAGTAGAGTTAACTATATAAGATAACTTGATAATAACAATACAATAACTACAACAATTAATATATCAAAGTGAAATCATATACATTCAATTAAATGTATGAACCTATTATACAAATATTTACTTAATTTCCATCATTAAAATAAAAAAGAAGTAAAATAAAATAATAAAAAAAAAAGAAAAAAAAAAAAAAAAGCAGAGACAAGACCGAATTCAAAAACTCATTAAAAAACGAAAACTAAAAGTAAAAGCAACCACGCACTTATGAAAATAAAAAAAAAGGAACCCCAAAATATAAAATTAAATTAACTTATAATTCTTGAGAAGCTTTAGCCTTACCGGTTTTCTTTGGTAACAAGGTTTGGTGAATGTTTGGTAAGACACCACCTTGAGCAATGGTAACATGACCCAATAATTTGTTTAATTCTTCATCATTTCTAATAGCTAATTGTAAATGTCTTGGAATAATTCTTGATTTTTTATTATCTCTAGCAGCATTACCGGCCAATTCCAAGATTTCAGCAGCTAAATATTCTAATACAGAAGTTAAATAAACTGGAGCACCAGAACCAATTCTTTGAGCATAGTTACCCTTTCTTAATAATCTATGAACTCTACCGACTGGGAAAGTTAAACCAGCTTTTGCTGATCTTGAAGTTGAAGCCTTAGCTGATGAACCGGCTTTACCACCTTTACCACCTGACATTATGATTAATTATAAATTTGATTAAAAGAAAAAGAAGACAAAAAAAAAAGTGAAACTTTTTTCTGAATTTATTGATGTTTAAACAATCGATGTTGGAAAAGAAAAAAAAGGAAGTAATTCTTTTATTAAGCAACGGATTCTGTGGGCTTTTTATAATCTTTACCAAATGGCGAAAACTAAAAAAAAATAAAAATAAAATAATAAACCAGTAGTGTAGATAATGCCAATTTTACAAAAATTTATAACGTAATAACGAAACAACCAACTAATCAAAACAAACAAACAAACAAAATAAATAACAATGTATGAATTTCAGGAAAACTGTTTACCATTGCCAGTGATGGCATTTACACATTTGAGCGCTATTCAGCCAATAAAATGTTTTTTCTGTTTTGTTTATTTATTTTTATTTATTTATATTTATTTTTCTTTGTTTTGATTTCGATTACGTGGTACTGTGTTTTACACGTAAGCGCCCTAGTGTTTATCTTTGTACATCATAGTTATGCATTTTACAACTGAGTAAATTCTATACTGATCTTTTGCATATTCTCAAATTTACACGTCCTATTTTTATATGATAAAAGTTGTTTTTTACTTTAATTTTAATTTTTTAGTCGTGTTGTTGTTGTTTGTTTATATATTTTTTTGTTTTCTTTGTTATGTTTTGCTGAATTTTGCTGGTTTTTTAACCTATTACAACATTAAAAAAAATGATTCTCACCAATTATATCTGCATAAGACGTATAAGAACGTTTTAGCGGCTTATACTTTACCAAATGATATAAAAAGATTAGATTATCCCACTGATGAATCGATTTTTTATTTTTAAAAATTTGTTTCTTTTCCATCATCATTCCAATTTACAGGATTAAATTCACTTAAAAAATTCACTTTTTTTTTTTAAGTTTTTTCCCTTTTTTAAAAATTTGTTAATCAATTACTAAATAATCATTAAACAATGGCACCAAAAGCTGAAAAGAAACCTGCTTCTAAAGCACCAGCTGAAAAGAAACCAGCTGCTAAGAAAACTGCTACTGGTGGAGATCTGAAAAAGAGAACCAAGACAAGAAAGGAAACTTATTCATCATATATTTACAAAGTTTTAAAACAAACTCACCCAGATACTGGTATTTCACAAAAGGCAATGTCGATTATGAATTCGTTTGTTAATGATATTTTTGAAAGAATTGCTTCAGAAGCTTCTAAATTGGCTGCTTATAATAAGAAATCTACTATTTCTGCTAGAGAAATCCAAACTGCTGTTAGATTGATTTTACCAGGTGAATTGGCTAAACATGCTGTTTCTGAAGGTACTCGTGCTGTCACAAAATACTCATCATCCACTTCAGCTTAAAAAAGTTTCTCGTGTTGAATTTTTTTTTCGTTTTATTTTTGATGGATTGGGTTTTGTTTCGTTTCAATTATAATGATTCTTTGTGTTTTTTTTTTTTTATTTTTTTCTTCTTACTAAGCTCAAAGGTTTTTTTTTTTTTTTTTTTTTTTTTTTTTCTATTTATTGAGGGTATATATCGTTTTTCTCTTAGTGATATTGTATATTAGTTGTCTTTTAATGAAGGTAAAGAGAATAATTAAGAACTGATTGTAGTAATTGTTATTGTTGCTGTAGGACCGGCTTCATCTTTGGTTTTGTCGCCACTCGCCGCCACGGTAATTAAGGTATAAATTCTTAAGATTTTTAAGTGAATTCTACCAATTTTGATGGGTTTCAATTAGTAGATGGAGCACTACTATTTGAAATAAAAAAAAGGGGGTTGTTACCCCCTCTATTTCCTTACTTTCAATTAATATTTATTCATAAACCTTTAATTTTTAAAGCAAAGTAGAGTAGAATAGAGTATATAATAGCTCAGATTTGTGTTTTGTTTGTAAGTTTCTGGGAAAAAAAAAAACAAAAGGAAAACAGAACTGTTAAGTTATTGATCTATAATTTTAAAAATTTATTGATTATATTCAGAGTTTTTGTAAAAGTTCTCAATTTCAAAATATGCTCTACTTTGTAAAATTTAAAATTCCATTTTAGTTTCACTATTTGTTTTGGGTATGGTTTACCGTCTTTTCAATCTGAAAAAACATCTTGAAAAATTGTTTACATAGCAGAAAAGATAGCAGATAATATCATGCTCTACATTTGCATGACTTGAAAATGTTTGCTAACATTGAACTCAATAAAGAAAAGAAAACAAGTTTTTACAAAAAAAAAAATTTAGTTTTCCATTATTATAACTAGACATTCAAACATTTAAGAAAGAAAAATAAGGGATCATTCAAGTTCCATCGGCTTCAGTAAAAAAGTTTATCCATCTGTCTGTCTTAGTTAAAACAATATAATAAAAAGAAGAAAAAAAAAAAAAAAAAAAGTTGCCGTCACGCGGGATTGAACCGCGGATCGCCGCATTACAAGTGCGGTGCCTTACCACTTGGCCATAACGGCTTCTTATTTATCAACAGTTCACTTTTTCTTTAACAAAATTTACGAACCAACGGTTTTTTTCCTAAACTACCAATGTTCATTTTCTTCTTTAAAGTTAATTGCTGGAACAATATCTAACTAATTAAATAAAAAGATAAAAAAAAAGAAAGTAATACAATTATCTTTCATTTGGTGGTAAGCCCACGTGAACTAGACAACTGAGATTGCAACAAATAATTAATTGTCCGTGATAGTTTAGTGGCTAGAATTACCGCTTGTCGCGTGGTAGACCGGGGTTCAATTCCCCGTCGCGGAGCTTTAATTTTTTTTTTATTATTATTATTTTATTTTATCTATTTTTACCCATACAGTTTTTACCACTCACTCTATATTATTGGTAATAAATTTGAATTAATTGCAATAAATTTAACATTTAAACACCGTAAAGAAAAGTAAAGAATTTAATATATTATATAACACACCTTAAATGCTAATTAACTAAAAAATGGTATTTTATCTCCCATGACTTTTTCCTTATTTTGCCTTTTTTTTCCTTTTTTTTTTTCATATCTTTATCTTCTATGGTATCAACGGAGTAGAACTATCTAAAGATGGTCTATCATTATTAATATTGATAGTTTGATTTAAATTACTGAGATTTAGTGGGCTATTTGAGTCACTAACTTTTTGAGCCAATCTCATAAAGTTCAATCTTTTACCCATTCTCTTCTTTTGCCATTTAATTGGGATAAATGGCAATATTCCATTTCTTTCTTCGTATAATAATCCTTTTAATACAACAATAACACAGATCCAATACAGAATATAACCAAAAAAGGAACCATAAGTTGCACTATTGGTCCAACCTAAAATAGCACTGAATAACATCCAACCCCCATCAATTTCACCATTACAACAATTTACATGCCATATGGAGTTTGTAACATCATAAGAACCTGGTCCAGAGCCAACTTCTGACATATCTTGACCGTTACAAAGGTTTATATAATGTTGAAGTTCAAATTGCCAAATACCTTTTGAAAACAAACCTGCAGCAACTAAATATAAGAAACAAGTTGATAAGATTAAGAAAATTTTCAAAGGCATAGAATCACCACTCTTATATAAGAATATTCCTATTGCTACTCCAAAAAGGACTCCTAAAATTAAAGATAAAGGAATCGAAGATAATGGTGAATTAATTCCGATACCTCCAATAAATACCACTGCTTCTAAACCTTCTCTTAAAGTTGTTATAAATGGCAAAAAAAACATTGAATATTTTTCCGTAAAGTTTATGAAATTATTGGATTTATTTTCCTTAATAGGATTATTGAAACTATTATTTGTAATTGTTGTATTAGTATTCCCCATATTTTCAGGAGAATTTTCTAAACTATTACTAATTGTAGTATGATTAGCCAACAATAATTTGGATAATTTAATAGTCCATTTATCTCTTAACTTATTCAATCTTAACATAGCTAATCCTAAAACTGATATTACCACCGAGGCAAATACACTAAAAGCTCCTTCCCAATAATGTTCCGTTAAAGACCATAAATCTGTTTCGAATAAGTAAAAAGCAACTATAAATAAACCTCCAATCATTAAACAAAGAAAAAGACCAGCAAAACTACCAAGCCATACTTGAAGTCTCAACTTCTTATACAAAGTTTCATTAAGTTCATATCGAAGTGCAACCTCATCTTCATCTTGATCTTCATTCACATCCGCACGTGATGGCGCTTGAACATTACCGCCGTTATGATCAACTGTTTGATGATTATACGATAACAAACTTTGTTTCAAAAAAGCCAACAACACAGAAACAATTATTGCAGACTCTAAAGTCTCTCTCAATATGATAAAGAAAGCTTGCGCAGAAAAATAGTTCTCTAGTGCAAACATAATCAATCAAATTGTTATATTATATTATATTTTATTAATATATTTTCTTTTAACTGATCAAAAAGATAAAAATTTTCTTTTTTTTTTTCCTATTTTAAAGCGAAATTAGATCTTAATATACTCATACAATAAAAGATGCAGTCGAATACTTCCGAAAAAGTCTAAATAATATTAATACTTTAAAAGCGAGGCTGAATGAACTACAAAAATTGGTACTCTCAACGAATTTGGCCATTCATATTCGTTGGTTCGATTCTAACAGTTTATTTATTACATATGTCGTTTGTTACCTTGCACGTTATTTGACGGCCAAGGAATTTTAAAAAAGAATACAAAATGACACACGACAGAGGTGGGAAAATAAAATAAAAAAAAAATAACGACAAAATGACATGGTATTGTTATTAGTAAGAGTAAGATTTCATGCGACATAGCCGAACGGGTTACTTCTTTATCAGATTTAGTTGATAGAACTGGAAAAGGGAATTGGAATGGGACTGGGAATGGGAGTTTGAGGCTAATTAATAGAAGGCATCACGAATCGCATCCGCGGCATCTTTACCTAGATCTCTTCCTTTTTGTAAAACAGCATCCATGGCCATAACTGGATGTGGTACACCGGAGTAAATAATGATTTTCGAATTTATTCCGTTTTTAATTAATTTTTCATTATAGGCTTCAGCTTCAGATCTTAGTACATCGCATTCTGCAGCTAAGATCAAGCATGGAGGAAGTTTTGTAAAACTGTTGTCTGGATAAAATAAAGGTGAAGCTTCTGGGTTTTGTAAATCTTCATCTCCATTTGGTAGGTATAATTTTCTATACCAAAGCATTTTCTCGGCAGGTAATTGTGGAGTAAATTCATTTTCTTTCCAAGAAGGTTGAGACTCAGGAGTAGCAGAGTTATCAGTAACGGGGACAACCAATAGCTGGAAAACCACTGGTGGGAAGATATCGGCAAAAGTCGAGTTGGAAAATTTATGAGTAATAACAGCTGTTAAATTACCACCTGCAGAGGATCCACCAATAGCTATCTTTCTTGGATTAATACCTAGTTCGGAAGTAGCTTTCCCAAAACCATACAATAATGCTTCATATGCATCATTAACAGCTGCAGGGAATGGATTCTCAGGTGCTAATCTATAGTCAACACTCATAACAATACATTTCGATAACGATGCAATTTTTGTACAAAATGAATTTTCAGTACTTATATTACCCAAGACCCAACCACCACCATGAAACCAAATAAATAAAGGCCAACCTTCTTTTGGTTTCTCACCCATGGGGACAAAGACTCTTGCAGGAATTGGTGCAGAGAAAGCCTCTTCTTTAATAAATTCCCGTAAAATTTCAATATCAAATGTTTTAGCGATAGAACTCAATGGCGATTGACCAGGCATAACATTCCCACCTTTTCTGATTTCTGTTAGAGGAACCCGATGTGTATAAAGAATATTCGCATTTTCAGTCAAGTGCTCATCAAAAAATTGAACATACTCTTTATCTATCCTACTTGAAATTGAATCATGAATTTTAAAAGGGGTAGCGGGGACACCACCTGCAAAGGAATAATCTGCTTGTAAAATGTGTTGGTTCATTTTCCCCCTATATCTTGCAAATATTTAACAATTCACAACTCACAAAAAAAAAATAAAAAAATAACTTTTCTTCTTTCTCTTTAAGTAGCTTTTACTGAGATATCAATTATATTCTCTTAGTGCTTCCTTATCACTAAAAGTGCAAATCATTTTTCCATCTTAATGCTTTCAGGCCTATCTTTCCCATCTTTAGTTCTTTTCTTCATAGGGGGAGAAAGGGGGTATTTCAAAGGGCAACCAGGCGGCAGCTGGTAGAATTTTTAGAAAAAATTAGGCAGGAACAACGAGCCACCTCCACGGCAAACGGGCGGTAGAGATAAGAATCTTTTTTTGCCGACATCACGGGTGAAGAAGTGAAAATTTTAGTGTTTTTCCGGTCCCCTACCCCACCAAACAGAAAAAACAAAAAACAAAAAAGAAGCGAATTTTGAAGTATTAATCATGAGCTTTTCATTGAATAATACCAAGAAACCATAATCAATTGAATTAGGACCATGCCGCTATATTCATCATCATTGACAACATTACCCAATAAAGGTATTTTATTGAAGGAATTCAAGGGTAAAAAATTGGACGAGTTGGCGACTCCAGCTTATATTATCGATAAAAGTAAATTTGCCCAAAATGCTTGTCGAATGCTTGAGAATGCACTGAAATTGAAAGTTGAGTTTAGGGCTCATGTCAAGACTCATAAAACAAGTGAGGGAGTTGCTTTACAATTAAAGACCAAAAATTTTAAAACGGACAAGATTGTAGTTTCTACTTTAATGGAAGCTTGGAACTTAATTCCCTTGGTTCAACAAGGTTTGATCAATGATATCTTATTCAGTTTACCTGTTGTGAAATCAAGATTGGCTGAATTGGCCGATTTGGCTACCCAAGTTCCTAATTTAAGGTTGATGTTGGATAATGCAGAACAATTGGATGTATTGTCTGAATTTTTTGAGCAAAATTCAAATGTCACTAAGAAATGGTCAATTTTTATAAAGATTAATATGGGAAGTGATCGTGCTGGATTAGTCAATGATTCAATTTTTTTAAGAGAAACATTGACAAGGGCTTTGACTCAGGAAAAGTACAAAAAATGTATATCTGTTTATGGGTTTTATTGTCATGCTGGACATTCTTATGGTTCTAAGACCGTTGAAACTGCAAAGAAGATTCTTATAGATGAAATACGCCATGCTAATAAAGCCGCCAAGACTGCTCTTGAAATAGATCCTAGTCAAGATCCCATGAGTTTCCAAATATCAGTAGGTGCAACACCAACAGCTCATTCTTCTTCATTCATATCAGTTCTGGAAATAGAAGAAAAATTGGGTGAAAAATTATCTGGTATTCTAGAATTACATGCAGGTAACTATCCTTGTTGTGACTTACAACAAGTGGCCACCGGATTGGTGAATATAGATGATGTTTCTGTGAGTGTACTTGCTGAGATTGTATCGTTTTACCCCAATAGAGGTGATAAACCACCGGGAGAACAGCTAATCAATGCAGGCGTTCTCG